GTCCTTATCCCTACCAAAGACGACTGTCATGGATTTATATGAGGCAGCTTTTTACCCCTACAGCAGATTGGTGCTGAGGTGTGGTCCGATCTTTCTACACAGTGATGTGTTGACACTAGAGAACAGTCTGGCTGTGCGATACTAGTCAAAAGTTAGCAGCTAGCACCAGACCTGCTCGTCAGGACTGCTGCTTTTTGTCCCTGAAAAACAGCTCCGTAAGAACTTATGGTTCTTGTGATTCAAGGTTTGTGTTACCGACAAGTTTCTGCAGTAAAAACAAAAACAGTGTAATGAAGGTAATGCATACGTACATGCCAGTGACAGAGAGATGGATTTACTGAGATGATAAATCAAACGAGGATTAGAGTCAGTTCGTTTAGTGGCTTCTTTTAGCAACCAGAGGAGTCGCCCCCTGTTGGCTGTTAGAGAGAATGCAGCTTTATAGTAGTAATTAGTAAAGTTAGTTTTTTATGTACAGTAACATAATGTGAAATAATAAAAATATTAAAACATGGATGATTTCAACTCTGGAATATATTTTAATAAACCATGAATTATGTACGAAGAAGGAAAAAAAGCTGAATTCAGGTTTAAATATGCAACATTATGCTGTTCCCAAACAACAGCAGCAAAGAAACACAAATATGAACAGAAATTATGTATGAAAATCTTCTCTACCCCCCTAAAAATATATGCATCTGGTTTAACAAGCAAAAAAAATAAGAATATGAATTATGTGAAGTTAATGTGCAGCAGCAGATCCACATTTCTGTGATTGTGCGTTTCTGCCAGTGTGTGTGCAGAACAGAAGTGAGAAGTCATGACGAAGCAGAGGACTGTGAAAGTAGGCCAGGAGGTTCTGTCAGCGCCGTGCAGGTGTTCTTCTCTTAGGTGGCTGAAACTGGGTTTGTTTGGACAGGAGGATGGGAAAGCACAGAGGAGGAAATGAAAGTGTTGGAAACGAACGGAGGCAAAGAACAAACTTCCATTCAGCGGCTTTGATGCTGCTCCACCGAGCCGCACCAGCAGAACCTAGCAGCAGCTTTCCTTACAGATGCATTATCCTGTTTCCTCTCAGCCCCGTGTCACGTCCACTGACCTTCGTTTTCTCTGCGACGGTGACATTTCATAAAAAAAAAAGCCACTTACACACATCATAAAGAATAACCTTTATTGCCCATTGACACCGTGGACACAGAGACGAGCCAGACGGGCAGATGTTCAGCCTCACACGTATGGAAATGTCACTTATTGTCCGCGTCTATATGCTGCGTTACGAAGGACGAGCAAAACGCTATTTCAGGAGAATTTCTCCCTCCGTCTTTCCTCTGTGTTGCTTGTGTGACAGCTGGCCCAGGGGTCATCTCCCTTACTGTGCTTTTGTCCCTCTGCCCATTCAGCACTAGCTAAAGCCCAGTGCAGCAGCAGCAGCAGCAGCAGCAGCAGCAGCACAACACAATCATGGCAAACTCCCACTGGTGGCCGCCAAGTCTGCATTTCAGCAGCACAACTCTCACTGCAGCACCGCGGAGTGACAGTGAATGGAAACTTTTTTTCCACACTCTTCCCAAGACGGCATCATATTTGTGTAGTATATCGCTGACGCACTCAAACCTAAAATAGATGGGATGGGTTTTTTTTTTTTACCGCTTTAGCCGTTTACAGCCAACCTCTGTAATGACATTGTGTGAATTTGTTAAAAAGTAAACTGTCCTCCATAAGTTATTGGGAAAGAAATGCAGTTTCCCTGATGAGGTATTTCCAATGATACTGATTGTAGGAGCTTTATTTCTTCACTTTATTTCTTATCAGTGAGGAAATGAGAAGCTTTGCATGAAAGTTAAAACAATCTGGAATAAGATGATTATATATGAATAGATGTATAGATGTTTTAATAGCTGATTCAGGTGTTAGTTTGTAGGTTCAGGGTTCACATGATCCTTCAGTATATGCTGCAGTTATTACCCACATACGTGTTTTGTGGCCATAGAGAAGGTTTAGTCGTGTTCCTCGAGGAACCTTGTACTGCAGAGGTGTGAGGTATTGAGGCATTTACTGTGAGACGTGTGTTTTTAGAGGAATAATCTCTCATTTTGGTTTGTACCAGCTACGAAAGTTTGGCCATCCACTGGTACCCAATGAAAAGTAAACCCAACTGTTTCTGTTGTATGTAGGAGCTGTAGAGGTGTGTGAGGTCAGCAGCTTAAACATGATTAACCCTCTGAGTCCCAAGTCATTTCTGAGTGTTTTTGTGCTCCTGTCACAATTCAGTCCAAGTCCTGGACCTCTATGGAGACAGAACAACTCTGGCCAGAAGGACAGAGAGCTCAGAAATGTCCTCTGTGCAGTTATCGTTCTATAAATTCTAAAATAAGTGAGAGAAAAGTAGAATATCTTACATTTTTTATTTTACAAAAAACAAAAAACAAACCTGAAATCAACATAAACAGTGTTTTCTTCCAATCATTCTCAGGTGTTTTACTACACTGTAAAAAATAAACTGTAAATCTACATACTAGAGATATTTTTTGACTTATATGTTTAATTCTTTTACATATTTTTTTTCTTTTCTGCTGTTCAGCAAAGAAATCGCAGAATTTCTATGTTACAACTGTTCGTCATGCAGAATATTTTTAGTGCAAACAACTTATTTTTGCAGATTTTTTAAATGAGACATGCATAATTATTTTTTATTTTTTAATCAAATATTACAATTTTAGGCTTAGATTTGGCAAATTGTTTCCCAATAGAACCACATGTCTCAGATCAATAGTTACAAAACTGTCTTAAAGATGAAAATCCAACATTTTTTTCTTTTTTTTTTTAGTTTCTTGCTCTAATAGAGATTGTAATTTTGCCGATTTCTTAACTTTTTTCCAGTCCTGCAGCTTCCTGTCGGCGCTCAGAGAGTTAACTGAGCAGATTTTCTTTGACTTGACTTGAGTGTCAGTATCCATGAGCCGCCTCAGCGTCTCACGTGTCGCTGTTTCTCTGTGTCTCCCCTCCAGTCCAACACTTCCTTTAACCGTGACGTGGTGAAGGCCGGTACCGGTCGACGTTTCCTCGGCGGTCTCCTTGACGACACGTCCTACTGCTACACTCTGGAGGTGTCCTTCTACAGCTACATGACAGCTGGCAGCACCGCCACCGTGCCCTACACCGAGGAGACGTGTATCCTTCACCGTGTGGAAAAAGATCCACTTCGTGGTATAGCAAGCAGCGGCGGCGGCGGCGGCGGCGGCGTCATCTCCTGATTTCTCGTCTCTCATTGTCTCACACACAAACTGTTCCTGCAGCAACAATCTCCCACTGAAATCGACTGATCTCGTAATCACTGGAGTCATTATTTTAATGTTCTCGGCTGCCAGAGTGTGTGTGTGTGTGTGTGTGTGTTTGTGGGTCATGTGTACACGCTAGAAAAAGCATGTTGCTCTTTTGTTGCCTCTTGTTGCGACAGATGTGCGGTGACAGAATAGGGATGTGATAGCTGCGTCTATTGATTTCATTTACAAAAGAGAGAGGAGAAAGGCGGCCTGTGTTGGCATATGTAGTGCCGCGCGCTCGCAGTTGAAGCTTTGATTGCGATAAACAATAGAACAATGGAGCAAACAAGATCCCTGTCAACTACAATCACGCACACGGGAACGCACACACGCATCACGCAAAAGAAGATGAAGGTCGCAGGTGCCTTAATGGAGGCAGATGGGAGGAAGTTTTCCTTCGACTGACCTTCTCGGGGCTGAAGAGCTCCTGAGAGCCGGCCAGTGGCAGTCTGATCTCGCCGATAGAGTGAGTGAGAAGAAGGAGGAAGAGAGATTTGTGGAGAGCGATAAGGACCCTACATATGAAAAGTATGTGCTTCCCCCCCCCTGCACACGCTCTGGAGGGGCAGGTGGATATAGACGTAGCCCTAGTGCCCTCTAGTGCCAAGAGGCGGCACTGGTCTGGCCGCCACAGCACAGAGCCAAGTCACGATTCATTAACACATGAAAAGTTAGAGATGAGAAGATCACGACAAGTCTGTATGGGGATGTTTTAGAGGCAGACATGCAACGAGAACAGGTTAACTGTATGACTTGCATTATAGTCGTGATGCACAAATGAAAGCAGATGATCTGAGGAGGTGCCACTGAGGCAGGAGCCAGATAAGGAAACACAAGGAGGCGAGTCTGGAGGCTGCTTGTGTGCAGATTTCCTCTGAAGGTCAAATTATGAGGTCTGGCTGGAGACTTCCTTTTTTTTTTGTTTTTTTTTTCTGGAGAGTGTTTATTCGTGTTTAGCTGCGAGGAGGAAAAAAAAAAGAGGGAGGAGGCGTCCGAGGAGGTGGAGCCGAGGCCTGGTGGTGTCGAGTGGAGATTGGGGTCAGGCAGGTTGAAGGAACCGACCATGTCACTTTTTACACCCCAGCAGTCAGCTCGATGGAGCGTGCAAATCATCAACAGAGACCTTTAGCATCCCTCCTCCCCCCACCTCACCCGCTCTCCTCACCTGACACACACACACACACACACACACACACACACACACACACACACACACACACTCCTCTAAACTAAAACAAATAAATAACAACAACCTCCGCCACCTTCCTAACGTGCCACCCTCACCCTCTCATCCACCCTGACTCTCCCCTTTCTCCGCCGCCATGACTTGCAGCCTCCCAAAATTGAAATCTTAACCTTTTGTGAGACTTTTTGTCACAGTTTGGAGGTTCTCAGAAAAACCGGCGATACATGCATTTGTTGTTTTTTTTGGATTCTGGCGTCCTCCTCTCTCCTCTGCTCCGTCCTTTCCTCTCATCTCATCACCCAGAACATAACAGCTCATTATATCATCTAGTCAAGCTGAGAATCCTCTTCTCGGAAACAGCGGGGACAACCTCTATTGTGCGTCTGCCTTCTCTTTGTCCTCTAATCATTTAGCACCTGTGTGTGTGTGTGTGTGTGTTTCCACCTGCATGTATACGTCTCTTCTTTAGGCTTTCATTACGGCGCTTGAAGTTAGTTCCAGGGAGGTAAATCTGCAGTTCTGGATTTAAACATAACAGCCTGATTTTTTTTTTCCCCCAATGCAGTATTTTTGTTTTTTTGATGGACCCTCCAATTCAGACTGTGGAGTTTGAACTGGAAAGTGGAATGGATCAAGGTTGAGAGAATCTGGGATCTTGTTCAAAACACAGCATGATGCTTTCTGTAGTGTGTGTGTGTGTGTGTGTGTGTGTGTGGGTACAGTGTGTGTTTTTGTGAGCCTACTGACTTACTGAGTGTGTGTTTGTGTGTGTGTGTTGTCTCTGTGCTGTGGAGGGACAGTAATCTCTTTGACTTTGAATAATTATTGAGAAATTGTTTTGCTCTTGTTTATCCTGCGCTGATTTGAGCAGCTGCTTCCTCTGTCACAGTCCAGATGTGCAGATCTTCAAGTGAGAGCGTCAGAGCAATTTGCTTTCTCGCTTGATTCCGGCAAGTTTGCTGATTTCTTTCAGTAGAGAAAAGCATGCAGAGGAAACTGCATCCTTCTCCTCTATCGTTATATAACGATGGATGAACCTTCTGTGACGTCTCCTGTAGGTTTCCTGATAATCTCAATGTGGCGTCTCTGGTCGTCGCCATCTTGGGCTGAGCCTGACTCCTCCCACCTGTCACTCAAAGTAGCCACACCCTTAATTATGCACAATTTTAATCCTCACGAACCCCAAAACCTGTTGGCAGCATTGAAAGCATGTTATATTTTAAGAGTCGCCAAAACTTCCCCATTTATCGGAGCCAGAACCTGAAATAGTGGAACGAATGTTGAGATTTTCAACGTTTTGGGGGTCCATAAACTGCTCTTTTGTAACGTGCCACTCCAACGGGAACCTTAACCAAACCTAAGCTGTTTAGACAAAATCTTTTTTATTCTATGTATGATGAAGTCGGTATAGAAAATTGAAGGATGTCTGGGCGGAGATAACATATCTGTTCCATGTACTAGTTATTTATCAGTTATATCTAGTTTACTAGTTATTTGTTCAACCTTCTGAACCCCAAAAATCTGCTGGTGGATTTGAAAGGCATGTTAATTAAAATTAAACCATTTTATTTGTGCCAGACACTGTAAAAACAGAAGGAACTGTCAGACTTTAAACTTTCCTACAGTCTTTGAACTACTCATCGGTGACGTGTGGTTCAAATCTAACCTTAAAATCATCATATTTAACTGGAGCGACTTAATTCTATGTGTTTCAATTAGAGAGACACCAAAAATAAACTTATTGCACTAAACAGATTCAGTAAAATAAACATCATGAGTGACGTAGCTGCCAGCAGCGGTCATGTGACAATACTTCAGCGACTGTTTGGATGAACTGCAGGTTGTGTTTACACAGAGCAGATAGGAGACGATTATGGAAACTAATTAAAAATGTAAATAGTAAAAAAGCTAAAATATGGACAGTCACCATCTTCCTAGTATTAATAAGACCTGTGGAAACCTGGAAAATATGTTCCACATGTTGATTCCTTTTCTTTTTTTGAATTTGTGAAGTAAATAATCAAAGAAATTCAACTTTTTGTTTTTCATTTTGTATGATTTAGGCCATTATAACTGTACTATACTGCACAGTAGACATTTTTGAGTTGTTCCTTCTTCAAGTCATGATTGAGATGTTTCCATGGAGGGGCAGGACTTTAAATTTCAGTGAAGAATGAGTCCAGAGGGAGGATAAATGTGACAGGAGCAAAAACCATCTGGACCTGCTTGGAGTTCAGAGGGTTGAGCTTTAGCAGAATTTAACCGGATGAGTTATATTAAAGTTCCACCCAAAATCATGAATGAGGAAACTAGCTACAGAGACTAAAAACATTTTTAGTGCCCGGCTGTAAGATGGTTATTTCTGTTGTAAAGTCGAGCGTTTTAACTGGAGCTCTGTGGGGATTGACTCGCTTTTAGAGGCAGCCTCAAGTGGCCGTTTGAGGAACTGCAGCCCTGGAAGGTTGCCGCTTGTTGTCGCTATCTGGGAACGTTTTCCCGTCAAACGCAGCCGGTGACAATCTGATCAAGTGCAGCATCGTCGGGCTTTTCATCTGGATTGTGTAACATGAGCAAACGGGCGGATGCATTGATACAGGATGGACTGACAGCCGGGTCAGCTGGCTCCGACTGGTCCTAATGGGAACAAACACACACTCCTCGTTCCCTTCGTGTGTGTGTGTGTGTGTGTGTGTGATGTCAGTCTGCCAGACTCTCGCCATAACAGTGGGACTCCATGAATACCAGAGCTGCCAATGGAACACAGTATGCATCAGTGAGCCTGACACCCCGTGGACAGGCTGTGACAAGTATGCAAATGGTATAGCTCGGAGGCAAATATGCTTCACTACCGCACATCATACACATCATATCACACCGACACGCACAAATGGATAGGTGCTCGCACATGCAAGCGAGCGCACACAGACACACCGGCGTTTTTATGCACACAGTTGATTGCACAAATATTGTTGCCATGCTCAGATGAACAGGTGTCCTCACATGAGTACGCTCAGAGATGCACAAACACTCACCTCCAGTTCGTTGGTAGGTTTCGTGCGGACGCCGATAAGGGCCCCAAGTCGGAGAAAAGTTTGGAAATTTCATTCGTGCTGGAAAACGGAAGTTGTGCGGTTGAAGCGTTTCGAATAGTTTAAGTGCTGAAAGAAGTTGAAATGGAAGTTTTAAGCGAAAACTTTACTTTTATGCCGTGAATATTTTTAGAGCTGCAGGTCCATTTGCATGAGGGTGAAAATTCGTACCTTTTAATGTGCCTTTCTTTTTCTGTAATTCCTCCTCATAACTTTATAAACGCAGGAAATGGAAACGTGAAATTTTCAGGGCTGGAGCTCTGACTCAGGCTTTTTAACAGGTAAACAGAATGTCACATTTTATATAATGCGTGTTTTCACATAATTAGAAAATTGTTTAGACACGGAAGAAATCGTGGCTGGAAGATGATCCTG